GTAATACTGCCTCTGTAAATGTTTCCCAAGCAAGTATAGTAAATAAACAGCAAAATACAGTGTGTACATTGTGCTGCTGTATGACGACAACTGAGAGATTGATTGATGTAGTTGTTCACATTTCCTTTAAGAACTGATTGGTTTTCATTAAAATGTTATTTTCCTCTACATCCACTGACAAACACTCAAATACATGCATGCACACGTGCTGCATGGTTCACTCCCATACAGTCAGGTGCATTCAGTTAAACATCCTAACATGTATTACATTGTATAATATATAGCATATTGAAGACACAGACTACAATTACATAATGCAACTGAGGATAATCACTGAAGCTATAACTTGAATATTGTGGTTGCAAGATTACTGGAGGAAAGATTAACGAAATGATCCTGGTATTAAAGCACTCAAAGCACTTTCTCTTTTACTCTATAATTAAAGTTCAGTTCTCTCCATTAGTCAAACGACCACTTTTGGAGCCATTTTTCTTGCAGCCTTCTTTGTACTAGTCATGACACCATGCAGTCGATGGCACACAGCCAAAATGACAGGACAGTTTAAGCAATTAATGCTCAAAGATATCAGTCAGTGAATGAAATAATTCCAGATAAACTGCCAGTCCACCAAGCACAGCCTGATGATACCCTCCGGAATATCCCATCCCAACATATGTCTAATTGTTTACTACTGCTTGTTTACATAAATACAAAATGTTGCAGGGGAGGAGGGGAGACGGGGGAGAGAGGGGGGGAGTACGGGAGAGTCGGTACACTATAAGACAGAGCTGGAGAATTAATAACAATTTGTGGCAGATAATTACTTATCAATTAAAGCTGTTATCCTGCCTAATTAGGCAACGTTCATTAAATTCAGCCAATTTAAACCTTAATCAAAGTTAGCAGGGCCTGACAGCAGAGCGAGGACCAGTGGAGGAGCGCCCCCCAGTGGAGGAGAGGGGAAGGAGGAGTCCCTTAAGGTGTGATAGTTTATTATTTTTTATTTTATTTTATGTTTTATTGCTCTGAGACTGGGTGACAATGAATGGATTTTTCATTTTATGACTTTGTATTACTATTATTATTATTATTATTATTATTATTATTATTAATCTAAGCAGCAAGGTGGAGCTATCCTTTCTATCATATCAAAGTAACTAAATCTGTTATGTAAATGTAGAGCTGTAAATACGAGTAAAGTGAGGCCAGATTAACCAGGCTCAGCCTGCATTAACCCCCCCAGTCCTCCCACTATCTGGGTGACATGTATTTTTCTATCTTGGGACATTTGCTGTGTGGCCTTTTGAAACATAGTAAATCATTGATAAACCTGTTAAATTTAGGAAAATGTGCCACCATGTAAGCACAATACCATCTGAAATAGTGAAGTTCCTTCCTCCAGATGCAGTTTTAAGTTTTATTTTAAACTCGGAGCAGGTAAAGGTGTCGGGAAACATTAGCTAATAAACACCAGGTGAGCCATGAAGCTGATGATGACACAGGCCTAAACTTCTGGTACCATAAAGAAACACCAACATACCAACAGCCCTTTTGTTTGGATTAACTCTGCAATGAGATTACCAAAAAAGCAATTGCCACACAATGAACCTGGGGCTTTTAGGGGGGTCCTTGAGGTCTGGGGACCTGGAGCTGTTGTTCCATTTGTCCCCTTTGTCAGTTGGTAAACCAACCTTGAGCAAAAGTATCTTAAAAACTGCTTTGAAGCACAGTACTTGAGTAAATTATAAAAGTACGTATGATGCACCTTGGCCCCTTTCAGAGTATCATATCCTTCTCCTTCTTCTACTACTTCTTCTGGGAATACCCAATTAAAGTTGCTCCAAATTGTACAAAAATAAAGTGCAGCACTTGAGTAAAACTCTTTCTACCAATGATTATTATATAATATTTTTAAAACCATAAGCACTCCTGCACACAGAGACTGAAGGTTTGATGCACTCATTCACCCTGTGGCCCGTCAGCTCTGAGGTTTTTTTTTAAAGCCTTCACTTCCAAGAACTGTTGTGGCCAATTGACAACAAAGCACACGCTTCTCGGGGCGGCCTCGGCATGAGGAACGAGTTAATTAATATTGGCTCTTGTTTGGTCTAGTTAATGAATGAGTGAATTATGCACCTCTGGGACACCGCCTCCCCAATCGGTTTAAATTATCCCCCACACCCCTCATCCAACATTGTCCTCCAATTTCCCCACTCTGATCCTGCACTGATGGGGTCCCTGTCAGCAACCAGACCACGACACACACACACACACACAACAGCCTACGGCTACCCTGCAGTCTCAATCTGTTATCTTTGTCCTGCTCGGGTGTATTTTAGTTTCCTGTCTCCAGCACCATTTAATTGACGCCTTTTTTTTTTTTTTTTAATATCAATGTTCTGTTTCGACTCGCATCGTCGCTCTAGGGTGGCAAATAACTTCCATCCCATTAACTTCGTTTGGGGGAGGCTAGTCAAACAAAGTTGGCCGCAATCTGATCCTCCTCTCTCTCCCTCACACACACACACACACAGACACACACACAGTCATGTTGGTCAGAGAGGAGAAAAAAAAAGATCCATATTATTTGCATTAAAAGCCTCGCACCGTGAAATTCATTTATAATTACAAAGCGGGGTGCTGTGTGTGTTATGCAGATCAGGGACATGTGTGTGTAGAGCGAATGGCTCGGATTGGTTATTTTGTGATATGCTAACACGGAATGTATAGTGACAGATTGCAATTATCCCGTTATTGTAATTGTCAAAGTCAATTCTCTGCAGGCTGAGTGCAGGCTGCATGAGAAAGACCAGGGTTTACACACGAATTAGATTGTCCAATGTAGTTTTTTTTGTACAGTCTCCGCTTTAATAAACACACAGTACATGATGGACGCTCTGCAAGATGCTGGAATTGAAAGTGGGCCTTGAATTAAAGGGTGTTATGTATTAAGTTTTAATTGTGTCTGTTATTATATGCTAGTTGACCAAATATTTTAGCAACATGTCATCAAAAGTAAAGTTTTCAAGTTTTCAAGTTTTCAATTAAGCAAATGTTCGGTTTAAGGTCTGTAGAGGGATTTTATAACATTAACATGACTGAAAATGTCCAGCAAGTTTCACCATGTTGAAGAAGATCTATAATAAAGATCTATAATAAATCGGATCAGTGATGGTCACATCCTGCTAATAAGACTTAAAATAGTCTGAAATGATGTCTGCCTGTGTATGTGTAAAAGATGAACTGAATGAATTCAAGGTAAACTGCCCCTAAAATATATCAGCCCTCCCATTTGAACTATGCTCTGCTCATCCTTGTGGATCTCCAGCTCCCCCATGTGGTGGATGAGGAGCAGTGCAGGACAGCGTGGACATCCAACCATCGACAATTCCCAATTATGAACCAGAAGCAAAATACCTTTTCCCAAAACCCATCACAGCATTTTATTTCACAGAGCTTCAGCTGGAGGAGGAAGGGAACAGATCAATGACATTACGGTGTGTAAGGTGTAGTGTGCTGTGCATTATTGTTGCCTATACCCATGCTTTGTTTCATCAATAAAAATTAGATATCTGTTGACTCAATCTGGCTTACACCACCAAAAATTACAGTGTAACTTCTTGCACCTTCCTTGTATCATGCACAAATATCCACAAACTAACCACTACCAATCCCCTCTACAAGAGGGTCATAAGATTAATGCAGTCATTCATTAAACCAGCCGGGCTTTTGGGGACCCTAACCTCTTTGACTTGTGGGTAACTAATAGTTTGTTGCTATTGCTTTGTCCATTCAAAGCTCTAAAACGCGTACAAAAGTGTGTGTTTCTGATGTATTCAGGTGGGTGTAGGATCATTGGCATCTCCTCAGCCTGTATATCCTAACAGGTGACAGCAGCCTCTGGCTTTATCAGAAACCCACTACAGCTGTATCTTTGTTTTCCTTTACTGAGCAGCAGAAACATCACTATAGATGGACTATGACAGATAGTGCTTTACCCTTCTTAACAGTAAAAAAGGCATTTGGGGTGGCACGTGACACACTCTGCCATCTGAAATATAAAAAGAAATGTATGAAATGTTTAAAAGTAGACCCAGCGCTTGAGGCATATAAAGCAAAAGCTTCTGCGTAGGGGCCCTCAGCTACCATGGGGCCCAAAACAAAGTGAAAAGGTGAATTCTCAGAAGTCTGTTTACATAATTAACTTATTTAAAGATACACATTTTATTCAAGTGTCCCCAGTGCTCCCATCCCACGACGACTCCCAATTTCTGGGGTTACAATATCAAGTTTTGGGATTATGACAAATCATTTTTGAGAGGGCGCTTTAAAGTTTTGGAGATGCTATAATAAAATACGTTAGAATATCTTTTTTATATCTGCACTTTAAATTAAAATTACACTGCTGAGAGAAGAAACTGTTCAAAGAAATAGTTCAACATTTTGGGAAATGGCTTTATGATACGTCTGTATCTCTTAACACTTATTCATTTCATCATTTTAATTCATATAAACAGCAACAATTCACCATTTTAAGAGGGGTTAGCTAGCTACTAGTTAGCTGGAAGGACTATAATTCTTGGCACTGAGGAGTTGCCAGGCAACCAGCGGAGATCCAGGAAGTTGATATAACAGTTAACATTACTACCAAGAAAATTTAATTTAATTTTTATAACCTTTTTTTTGGATGGATTACGGCCTATTTGAAAGTTTAAAAGTGCATTTTAGGTGATTTTGTAACTGTTAGACAGGTCAGCTGCTTTCTTTAAAGTCTGTGATACATTTGCTAACTTTAAGCTTGCTTTTCTTCTACAAACTATTCTTTTAGTTTTAAAATATTCTTACTTTTGAGTAATTATCAAGTTAAAGACGGAGAGGTAAATATTGAATTTAAGTAGCGAAAACTCTATTTAAATGTGTTGTGTGTGACACAGCTGAGCGCATGCGCAGGGACGGAGCACACCTGCACCTATTTAACTAATCCAACCCTTCGTGTTGAAACCAAACCACTGAGGGCCCCGAGTTGTGATGGCTGAATCTCGGAGAGTTCAGTTGACCACTTTGTCCTACGATGTACCTGCATCCTCTGGCGAACCGGCTGCGGCCCAGAGGCCTCCGTCAGGTGTTCCGCAGCAGGTGAAGGAGACCCGTCCGGACCGAGCCGCTGACCCAGGCTCGGTCCGACTGGTGCTCACATTATTTGAGCCTGATGAACGAAGCTTTCCCGAGTTCAGCTACAGTCAACTCGTTGACAACAAGGTGGGATTTTATGTTGAAAGTCTGCAGAGGAAACTTCAGTCTTGATATTCTGCTGTTGCTGCACAAAACCAAAGAGCATCCTGTTACCCCACATGTCTTTATGTTAGTATAGAAACTGTTTTTAATGTTTATTTATATATGTTGTGTTTTTTGAATCATTTGTTAGAGCTAGTTGTTAAAGACACTTGCTTTTCTCCACCTTTTATTATGTTGCAATGTCAAAACTTTTGAATTGGACGTTTTAAGAAGAGTTGTGATTGTCATTATTATTATTATTATTATTATTATTGAATATGCTAAGTGATTAAATTTAAACTATCAG